AATTGCACAGGATGCTAATAATTTTGCCTTCAACTGTAACTTAATATTTAATTATATATATATATATATATATATATAGTTAAAATATTAAAAATAAATGCTTCTCATTTAAGCAAATAATATGTCATCAGAACTGTAAGATTTATTAGAGTTGCAGGACTGAACTCTGCACAAGGCTTTTGGCCAGCGGAGAAATTAAAATGGTCATGCCGAACTGAGTCTGGTTCTCTCAAGGTTTTTTTTCTTCACTCCCATCAGATGAAGTTTTTTTTCCCTCTCCGCTGTCGCCACTGCCTCGCATGGTTCAGGATTGGTAGAGCTACGCATCGATGAATTTGCTCTTCAGTGTTTGAACTCTCAGTAATGATTAAATCACACTGAACTGAGCTAAACTGAGCTTAACTGAACTGAACTTAAACACTAAAACCTGAACCACACTGTTCCAGTTACTGAACCACACTGTTCCAGTTACTATGACCATTTATGTGAAGCTGCTTTGACACAATCTACATTGTAAAAGCGCTGTACAAATAAAGCTGAATTGAATTGAATTGAAGGAAAATGACTTTAATTAATAAATCTTTGTTTTTAATATTAGTTAACCAAGCTTCCATACTTTTTTATACTACAACTATTTTAATTTTCATACAAAAATACAATAAATAATTGTAAAAATGTATGCAGGTTTCTTCATTTAAAACACAGTGTTTGGCAGAACAATGACAGCGGTAAGACGTGGTGTTTTATACCTGCATGTCTGCTCTGTCCAGTTCTTCTCTTTGGCTCTGACGGAGATCTCGAAGCGTAACTGCTGAGCAAACGCAGCGATCTCTTTCTGCAGTGCTTCAATCTGACTGAGCAGAAGAGCTCAGAGTTACACACACGCAGCATACACACATCAGACAGTGACTGACTGGGATTATTACACTGCTGCCTGCAATACTGGATTCTGATTGGTCAATCATGACGTTCCAGTGTCTGTTTTTCCCAGATTACAACCGCTGAATTACACAGACTCACCTAATCTGTTGTGGTGACTTTTACAGTTGCTATGGTAACAACAGCTACATTAATTGATCTGTTGTGGTTATTCTACTGTTGCTATAGTAACACAACAACTACATTAATTGATCTGTTGTGGTGATACTACAGTCGCTATGGAAACACAACTACAGTGATTGATCTGTTGTGGTGATCCTACAGATTAATTACTATACTAGCCATATTACCATAACAACTGTAGGATCACCACAGCAGATCAATTATTATAGTGGCTGTGTTACCATAGCAACTGTAGGATCACCACAGCAGATCAATTATTATAGTGGCTGTGTTACCATAGCAACTGTAGGATCACCACAGCAGATCAATTATTATAGTTGTTGTGTTTCCATAGCAACTGTAGAATCACCACCGATCAATTACTATAGTTGTTGTTACCATAGCAACTGTAGAATCACCACAGCAGATCAATTACTATAGTTGTTGTGTTACCATAGCAACTGTAGAATCACCACAGCAGATCAATTACTATAGTTGTTGTGTTACCATAGCAACTGTAGAATCACCACAACAGATCAATGCAAGTGCTCCTACCGCATGCGTTATAAACACTATAGTATTTGCTGTGAATGACTCCAGTATTTGATTAATCATGTCTGAGCTCTGGTTGTGTAGTTCAGTGTGTTTGTCTGGACCTTAGCGATGATGTGCGCCTGATAGATGGCCAGCGGGAGTGTGATGCTGCAGCGCAGGGCCAGTGTAGTGCAGATGATGCTGCTCCACCAGGGCAGTCCGGTCAGCTGCTGGACCGACAGCAGGAGCTGCTCCGCCTGGTGGACGGGTGCGGAGTCCGCCACACTCTCGTACCAGCCGGACCCCTGCGTGCTCACAGCTCTGAATGACCCGCACTGAGAGATGCTGATGAGGGAGGGCCTCAGGGATGCTGGGTTACCATGACGACACATCCGCACACTGACCAACACTGCTGATTGGCTGATCCTCAGCATCTAAATATAACAGCAGGTACAAGGTCAACTGTTACACTGTCAGAGCGAAACATTCATTTACTGTCAGAGCGGAAACTGTGTTAATATATCTGGATCTTTATTTTTATTGTCAAAAACAGTGCAGCATCAAACATTAATTCATTTTTTCCATCTAATACTGTGTTTATGCATATGAGAATTTTATAATAAATTAACAGTTTTACAAATGTTTTATTCTTTTTTCTGTATCACACTCACCGGCCACTTTATTAGGTACACCTGTCCAACTGCGCGTTAACACAAATGTTTAATCAGCCAATCACATGGCAGCAGCTCACTGCATTTCGCCATGTAGACATGGTCAAGAGGATCTGCTGCAGTTCAGAGTGAGCATCAGAATGGGGAAGAAAGGGGATTTAAGAGGCTTTGAACGTGGCATGGTTGTTGCTGCCAGACGGGCTGCTCTGAGTATTTCAGAAACTGCTGATCTACTGGGATTTTCACGCACAACCATCTCTAGGGTTTACAGAGAATGAGGAAATATCCAGTGAGCGGCAGTTCTGTGGGCGCAAATGCCTTGTTGATGAGGCCAGAGGTCAGAGGAGAATGGCCAGACTGGTTCCAGCTGATAGAAAGGCAACAGTTACTCAAATAAGCACTCGCTACAACCGAGCTCTGCAGAAGAGCATCTCTGAACACACAACACGGCCAACCTTGAGGCGGATGGGCTACAGCAGCAGAAGAGCACACCGGGTGCCGCTCCTGTCAGCTAAGAACAGGAAACTGAGGCTACAATTCACACAGACTCACCAAAACTGGACAATAGAAGATTGGAGAAACGTTGCTGCTCTGATGAGTCTCCATTTCTGCTGACACATTCGGATGCTCGGCTCACAATTTGGCCTCAACAACATGAAAGCATGGATCATCCTGCCTTGTATCAGCGGTTCAGGCTGGTGGTGGTGGTGTAATGGTGTGGGGGAGATTTTCTTTGGGTCCATTAGTACCAATTGAGCATCAACGCCACAGCCTACCTGAGTATTGCTGCTGACCATGTCCATCCCTTTATGAGCACAGTGTCTCCATCTTCTGATGGCTACTTCCAGCAGGATAACGCAGCATGTCATAAAGCTCAATCATCTCAGACTGGTTTCTTGAACATGACGATGAGTTCACTGTACTCAAATGGCCTCCACAGTCAGCAGAGCTCAATCCAATAGAGCAGCTTTGGGATGTGGTGGAACGGGAGATTGGCATCATGGATGTGCAGCCGACAAATCTGCAGCAACTGTGTGATGCTATCATGACAATATGGAGCAAAATCTCTGAGGAATATTTCCAGTCGCTTGTTGAATCTACAACACCAAGGATTAAAGCAGATCTGAAGACTAAAGGGAGTCTAACCTGGTAGTGATGAGGTGTACCTAATAAAGTGGCCGGTGAGTGTATATATAGTTACAAGAGATTAAAATTTAAAACAACGAAATCTTTCACATTTACTCATTACTGATCAGACACGATATAGGTGTTGTTTAGTAATATTAATTCTTGACCATTTTAACACAAACTGTAAGCAATTTAAAGCATTTTCTGTTATACACAGTTCATGTATAGTTATAATATAATTAAACAGACTAACTATACATTAAAATAACTCAAAAACATGTAAATTATTGTTCGAATATTGGTATTAAACTCAGTTTTGACAGATCAGTCTGCAAGAATACATGAAACAAAACAATATCCTCACCTTGGTTTGCGTTCCTAGACCTCAGATAATCTTCTTTATCGCATCATTACAGAGCGATGAAGCTTTAATGAAGCTTTATTTGCTGTGAAGGTTTACTTTTCGATCACGTTCATCCTCACAGTCGGAATGTCAAATTGAGCGGGCGCGTGGATATGACGCCATCACGTCGAAGCCTCCCTCAGCGTCAGAGCGCCACCTGCTGACAGACACTCACTAAACACGCCAAACTCACCGTGTTTACTACTGCAGTTTGATTACACTTAACTATGAATTCCTGCTTCATCTGCATTTGCATCTGCTCATACTTCAATACATTGAGTCTGCATAAAGGTACGATGTTTTTAAATATTATTTGCTGGTGTTTTTTATTTAACAAACAAAACATTCACCTGCCAAATTGAAGATAATGTTAATGTTAGTGGTTTGTTGCCAATATAAATGACTCTTTCAGCATATATTTAATAATATTCACCTCCAGTTAAACCTGCTCACATGGAAAAAGTACTATAGTAGTTTATAATGCTTGTGTACTATAGTAAATGCTTGTGTACTATAGTAAAGTGTATTACACTGTATGCTATTTAAAGCTCTTTCCTAATGAATGCTGTAGATCAGTGGTTCTCAAACTTTTTTCACCAGGTAAAATGGTCTCTCCAAGTACCACCATAATGACCAGCACTGAAATACAGCAGTCCAGTAGGCCTAATTAAGCAGCTGCAGCTCTGCACAGTTCGAAGGCCAGGCAGATTACATCTTATTATTATGAATATTCATTATTGTCAGCCACTTTAACCATTATGAATAGTTTGCACATGAGCACTGTATTGAGCTTACAGGTAAACAAATAAATAAAACGTCAACGTTTAAATCAAAATGTGCTTTTAAAAGTGTATTAAAAATGTCACTGTTCCTAAGAAGTACAAAGAAAACTGCTGCACTGAAATGTAAAGCATTATCATGTAGTAGCCTATTCATCAAAACCTGGAAATATTCCTCATAAATGTAGGCTAAATGTTATCATATTGATATATTTTGATCAATTTTGAAATATATGTTGCATCTACTTCTGACTTATTTGTATATCTTTGCAATCTAAACATAACTTATATAAATATATGAATTGGACTTTCATATTTAAATTAGAAATGAGTTCTGCTTACTGCGCGTCAGAGTCAGCTTTGTGTGTCAGAAAAGTAAGTGATTAAACTACACCTATCAACATTAGGAAATACAAATATGGGATAAGTCCCCAACAACCAATACAAATATGGGGAAAAAACAAGCATCAAATGATAGAATACATAACAAACATTAATTAAAATTAAAAAATTAATTAAAACATTAACGAAATTTAATATTAGCCGATTGAATCAATTTACTGTTCATATCTGTGTTATCGTATGCATTAAAGCATAGGTGTCAAACTCAGTTCCTGGAGGGCCGCAGCTCTGCACAGTTTAGTTCCAATTTTAATCAAACACACCCGATCAAACTAATTGAGTCCTTCAAGCTTGTTGAAACCTACAGGTAAAGCTGCGCTCACATTAGAGTATGAGCATGCGATATTCTGTCGTGCGGCTCTGCGAAAAGGGGTGGGATTAAACAAGATTAATAGACATTAAAAAGCGCGCGATTGCTCCATGTTTTAAATTTCTGTTTTGAGAGCTCATGTTTTGATCCTCGATTGGTCTCACGCAGTCTAGTGATGCGATTTCGCAGGTCAGAGTTCACCAAGCTTGAACTCTGCACCACAGCAAACTTGAAACTTGATGCATGACCCTGCATTTCTGGTCTGATGCATTTGCATACATATGAATGGAAGTCTATGGGAGGAAAAGCCCAGTGTGACCGCTGCTTTAGTGTGTTGGAGCAGGGTTTGAAGTAAACTGTGCAGGGCTGCGGCCCACCAGGAATTGAGTTAGACAATCCTGCATTAAAGCATAGGTCTCAAACTCAATTCCTGGAGGGCAGGAGCGCTGCACAGTTTTGCTCCAACCCTAATCAGACACACCTGATCCGACTAATCAAGCTGTTTAAGACTACTCCTGGAGACGTTGATTAGTTGATCAGCTGTGTTTGATTAGGGTTGGAGCTAAACTGTGCAGCGCTCCGTCCCTCCAGGAATTGAGTTTGAGACCCCTGCATTAAAGGTTTAAAGTGTGTTCATGTTTGATTTGAATTATTCAGTGATTCCTCTGTGTACCGCTAGAAGGAAGCCTGCATACCACAGTTTTGGGAACCAATGCTGTAGTATATTGCAGCACTATAGTAATAACTTTAGTGAATTAATAAACTGTAATCAATATTGTAGTGTACTGTAGTTTACCACAGTGGTGGATTGTAGTATAATACACTCTTTAGTTGTTGAAAACTACTGTATTAGCCCATTTGCTTATATTACTATAGTTGTGTAACCATTGCAATTATAACATCACCACAACAGATTAATTCAAGAGCTTTACTATAGTATGATTTGTAAAGACTGTAATATTTACTATAAATCACTTTAGTGTTTTCTTAGATAAATATATAAATGTTTATTAAACCATCAGTTTCAGACTGACAAATGAGCTTTGACAACAGCATTACTTCAATAGGACATTTAATCAGTACTGCAGTATAAAACATTTTGTACATGGCATCATACATCTGCACTTCCAATGCACAATCCCTTATGAAAATTAACCATTTAATTATAAAACTTTAGTATTTATGCTTTTGGACTGACACAGTCTTGCGCTTCTTGACTTCTGTTTGTGTAACCACGGTTTTACTGCAAATATCATTTGGTTAAAGGCAAAATATGCAAGATTTAGTTTTAATAAAATACCACAAAACCCACCAGATGCTCTACAGTTTGCTGAATTATGTACTTAAAGGGATAGTTCACCCAAAAATGAATATTTACTCATTATTTACTGCTCCTCAAGTGGCTCCAGAATAAGATATTTTAAAGAAAGCCAAAAACAGGTAGCTATTGACTTCCATACCAAGAAAAAACAAATAAAAAGTCAAAGGTTATAAGTTTCTAACATTTTTCCAAATATATATTTAGTGTTCAACAGAAGAAACTCAAGTCTTTTACCTGTTACTCCAGTAAAGTGTGAGTAAATGATGAAAATATTTTTATTTATGAGTGATCGACGCCTTTTTAAATGATCCCAAATGTTTGGAGGAATGTTCAAAACATGCGCTTGTTTGTTGTGAAGACATGCCCTCTAGTGGCCAAAACTACACACTGCGCCTTCAAACTGTTTACTTTTGCAAAAATCATGGATAATATAGGGCATCGCTGTGGCATAGTGGGTAGCACGATCGCCTCACAGCAAGAAGGTCGCTGGTTTGAGTCCGGCTGGGTCAGTTGGTGTTTCTGTGTGGAGTTTGCATGTTCTCCCTGTGTTGGCGTGGGTTTCCTCCGGGTGCTCCGGTTTCCCCCGCAGTCCAAACACATGCGCTATAGGGGAACTGATCAACTAAACTGGCCGTAGTGTGTGGGTGTTTCCCAGTGATGGGTTGCAGCTGGAAGGGCATCCGCTGCGTAAAACATATGCTGAATAAGTTGGCGGTTCATTCCGCTGTGGCGACCCCTGATGAATAAAGGGACTAAGCCGAAAAGTAAACGAATGAATGAATGGATAATGTTCGTAAGGGAGAGACAGTGATACACCAGCTTCAGGTCATTGGTTGGGTTTAACCCTGTGGCAGCCGAACAGGTCAGAGGTCAGTCTAGTGGTGAGCTCTGCTCTGCTGCAGTGATGCGCGGCGTCGGTTAATGCGCTTTGTGCTTGCGCGCAGTTTGCGTGTGCGCAGCTGTCGCAGCCGCAGTTGCAGGTCTTTGGGGATCTTTCCTCCTTTGGCCAGAATCTCCCGCAGACGCTGCTTCGGTGTTTTAGTGAGCCGGAAGTCGCAGAGTGTAGGATAATGTTCATATTCCACCCTGCAGCTGCGGGACGCTGGGAAATATCCCTCCGCCGTCACTGTGATGTCATAATCGCCCGGGTTCAGCAGACGCCAGAAATCCCCATCAGCAGCTGCAACAACATCTACAGTTACAAACTGATCTAGGAACAGCAGACTGCTGTATAAAAGATAATACAAATGGACTACTACTGTAAACGTTAGCAAAAGAATGTAGACAGCGCCCTCTAGTGGAGTGGACATCTGAAATGTACAACAAAACATGCTCTAAGTAACATATTTCAGATTGCATTAATGTAGACAGCGCCCTCCTCAGCTCTTGTAAACGCAGTGATGTTGCATGAACAGTCATGCAGGCGTTGGTTAGAATACACACATGAGTTCATGATCACAAGTGCAGTAGAGCAGATTTACTCTGGCAGCAGAAAAACAGCATCCGAAAAAACTGAACTAAACTCGTCCAGTCTCAGCTACAACTACAGTGTTTGAGGATTAAAACCAATGCTGTAGGAGAGCCAATAAAGACCACACACTGGCATTATGCAAATAATTACAAACCGAAATGGGAAGTATGGAGCCAGATCAGTCTCAAAAATAAGACGTTTACAAAATATAATTCATCCACAACACCATTCACATTTACAAAATCCAATTCGTAAGTTTAAAAGACGATTCATGAATACACAAATAAAACTCACTTAGTGAAAATATTCATGACTGTTACTTGTGAATTCACAAATTGTGTGTTTGTAAATCCAAATTGGATATTGTAAAAGTGAATAGTGCTCTGCATGAATGAATTTTATTTTGTAAATGTATTATTTTTGAGACTGATCTGACTCCATAGGAAAGATGGAACTTTTTCTTTTCAGGGGGCAAAAGATCTTTAAAAAATCGGAAAAAGCGGACAGCATCACCTGATCGTATGTGGTGGTCGATATCATCCACTTTAATGATGGCGTCGGCGATTCCTGCCTCGGTGTCTTTGTCCCGAATCACTCCCTTGATTCCTCTGTGCACCTGTTATATGGAAGAGCTGATGTTGGCGTTGAGCTTTTTTCAAAACACACTTACTGTAAATATCTGCTTCCGTCTAGATTTTTGTGAAACCAAAAAAACGTACTGAAACACAAGTTTGGATGCAGTTTTGAAGTAAAATGAATGCTGTGGGCAGGATGATGGAAAAAAATGTAGAGAGCTCCCTCTAGTGGATTTGTTACCTGAAATATCCAACAAAACCTATTCTAATTAACATTTCAGAATCGCAAAATATGCATATGGTAGATTTAATAAGTACAACAAAATGCGCATTAAATAATTATTTAAAATTAGCAACAAGTTTGACAGCGCCCTCTAGTGGATTTCCCTTCTGAAATGTTTGTACCCTGAGTAAATAGTTGATTTGTTATCTGAAATGCAAACAAAATTCACTCCTATGCTGCGTTCACACAAGACACGTAAGAAGTGTCAAGAGAAGTGTTTTACATGTTAAGTCAATGCAAAGGCGCTATAACGGTCTCCAGCATCATCTAGTTATTACGGAGCCGTTTTGACAGGAGCAGTGATGTTCATGACGTGTCCAAGCATTTATATCTCAAAATTAACTTTATTGTTCTTACAAATGCTACAAGCAAAACACGGTCAAAAAACTGTTTCCCTGGTACTCCTGCCAGCTGATCACCCATCACCTGTGAGCCCTTACGTAAGCAGGTGAGCTGATGTGACATGTAGGTGGAGTTTATCTGTATCATTAAACCACTCGATCAGTGACACAGAATAATACTTTATAATATTATTAATCTAAATCAATCATGCAACTAATAAACAAAATATAAATATATATTAATATCACAAATGGCTCCAACAAGCGCGAATAGACATCCTGCGGCGCAAATGGCGAATGATGCGAATGGTGCGATACCCATAAATGGTGCAGCGCGAATTGATCGCCGACACCAACACCAGTTCATCAAACTGGGCTGGGCTCAGTCAGAAGCACTGCTGAAAGATTCCATCATTTGAGTTGATGACCTTACAGAGCTGCTGCACCTCCGAAAGGATCTAGTGGACTCGGACACGGCTCCAAACGAATTGTTTTTCAGCCTTAATAAAGCACATAAACACAGCGATTTTCTAAAAAATAATCTATGTTAGCCATTTAGCAACGATGCTAAAAGAAGCAACGATGCAGAAAGAAGCCACGCCCATCACGCCAATCCGTGTCTGCTGTGAAGTAAATTTGACGTGCGAATGAAGCGGATTTGATGCGCGGATGAAGCGAGTAAACTAAAATAGTCACGTGTCTATTTGCACGCAAATAACGAGATTTATCCGTGCGTTCCGCGTCTGTTGTGAACGCAGCATAAGTAACGTATTTCAGAAACGTAAAATGTAGACAGTGTCCTCTAGTGGATTTGTCATCTGAAACATACAACAAAGCGTATCCTAAACAACACATTTCAGAATCGTTAAATATAGACAGCGCCCTCTAGTGGATTTGACATCTAAAATTTACAACTAAATTTAAAGTATATTATTTTTTGCAAAACTGTAAGCTTATTACAGACACAGTGTTCCTGGGTTGGTGTTTTTGGGACACTCAAGCATTTAGAAATGCATCAGATTAATGATGCGCGGATGGCGGTTATTCGCGGGCGCTGTGGCATTTTGTTTGTTCGGCTGGCATTTCAGCTGATCCGCACATCTCTACATCAGATGTTTAGTAGTGATTGTTACTCTTTATGTGAGATTTGGCACCTGCTCCATGTAGACCAGCAGAGACTCTTTATTGTTCTGCCATTCGGTGGGCAGTTCGCTGGCGTGAGGGAATTTATCACAGGACAGCTCCACCGTCACCTCGAAACAGTTGGTGTGCAGATAACTGAAGTCATTCATACCTGCAGGAGGAGGGACATACACGAGACATCAAGAGCATCTTTAATATGTTATTACAACATTCAGCTTAACAAAGCTGCACTAATTTGATCATAAATCAGTAACATGTGAAATATGTTGTGTGTGAATGTTTAGTGTAATTGAAATGTATTGTCGCGAACAGCAAAAGCATCATTACCTCAGTCTTCAGTGTCACATGTTCATTCGGAAATCATTCAAACATGTCTGATTATCACAAGCATTGAAAAACATTCCTATTTTCTGGAAATTTCCTTTGTTTTTACATTTGTTTTATTGCCACAGCATTAATGATGCATTATTGTAATGAATTTCTGTGTCAAATCGTAAATAGACTGAGTTACTCACTGCCTGGCACCGTATGCCAGTTTGCTCCATTGATGATGTTATTGTGCCGCAGGAAGTCCTCGTTGTGGCAGGGTCTGCGGTCGGGGTTGGACATGACGTGGTTGGTGCTGGCGTAGACTGTGGCCAGCCAGCGGAAGAAGCTGTCGTCGGCGGTGGGCGTCTGCTCGCGCGGTGCCCAGTCTCGGGTCATGTCGAACGGGTAGGTCACCACCAGCTCTCCTCCATGCAGATTCGCACTCAGAACAAACGGTATGGTCTGCATCCAGCTGATCACGGCCCTCGTTTCTGGAGCCACCTGCAGTACAGCGCATTACATATACTCATTACAGATTACACGACAACTTTCAGAGTCACAGAGTAATCTGATAGATTACATGTTTAACAGGATGTATGACCACTACTTTTAGATTGCATAAGGATTACATTTATGGTTGCGTAATCTGACTAATTTCGGAGTACATTTGGATTACTTTTATTACTTATTTATAGTTACATAATCTGACTTTTCGATTACATTTAGATTACATTTATTACACATTTTTGGTTATGTAACTGACTGCTTTTGGATTACATTTGGATTACTTTTATTACACATTTATGATGATGTAATCTGACTGCTTTTGGATTATATTTGGGTTAATTTTTTACTCATTTATGGTGATGTAATGTGACTGCTATTGGATTACATTTAGATTACATTTATTACACGTTTATGGTTATGTAATCTGACTACTTTTAGATTACATTTGGATTACTTTTATTACACATTTATGATGATGTAATCTGACTATTGGATTACATTTGGATTACTTTTATTCATGTATGGTGATGTAATCTGACTGCTAATGGATTGCATTTAGATTTCTTTTATTTCACATTTACTTTTGATTACATTTGGATTACTTTTTTTACACGTTCATGGTTTGGTAACATAATCTGACTAGTTTTGGATTACATTTAGATTACTTTTGTTACTCATTTATGGGGACATAATCTTACTGCTTTTGGATTACATTTGGATTTTATTGCTCATTTATGGAGATGTAATCTTACTGCTTTTGGATTACATTTTTATTACTTTTTATATATACATGGTGATGTAATCTGACTGCTTTTGGATTACATTTGGATTACATTTATTACTCATTTATGGTTACGGAATCTGACGGCTATGGTATTATATTAAGGTTACTTTTATTACTCATTTATGGTGAAAATCGGACAGTTTTTGCATTACTTTTGGATTACTTTTGTTACTCATTTATGGTGATGTAATCTGACTGCTTTTGGATTATATTTGGGTTACTTTTATTGCTCATTTATGGTGATGTACTGTGACCGTTTTTGGATTACATTTGGATTACATCTATTACAAATTCATGGCAATGTAATCAGACTACTTTTGGATCATATATGGATTATAATTATTACACATATATGGTGATGTAATCTGACTACTTTTGGATTACATTTGGATTACTTCTATTATTCATTCATGGTCATGTATTCTGACTGTTTTTTTATTAAATTTTTATGTAAAAAATATTTTTTATGTAATTTTTATGTATGTTTATTTTAATGTAATCAGACTACTTTTGGTGTATATTGAGATTACATTTATTACACATTTATGGTGACGTAATCTGACTACTTTTGGATCATATATGGGTTATATTTATTACACACCTATGGTGATGTAATCTGACTACTGGATTACATTTGGATTACTTTTATTACTCAATTATGGTGATGTAATCTGACTGCTAATGGATTACATTTGTATTACTTTTACACATTTATTGTTTTAATATATATCTACTTTTGGATTACATTTAGATTACTTTTCTTACACATTCATGGTGATGTTATTGGACTGTTTTGGATTACATTTGGATTACCTTTGTTACTCATTTATGGTGGCGTTATCTGACTGCTTTTGGATTACATTTTTATTACTTTTTACTCATTCATGGTTATGTAATCTGACTGCTATTGGATTACATTTAGATTACATTTATTACACACTTATGGTTATGTAATCTGACTGCTATTGGATTACATTTAGATTACATTTATTACACACTTATGGTTATGTAATCTGACTGCTATTGGATTACATTTAGATTACATTTATTACACACTTATGGTTATGTAATCTGACTGCTTTTGGATTACATTTGGATTACTTTTATTACACATTTATGATAATGTAATCTGACTACTGGATTACATTTGGATTACTTTTATTACTCAATTATCGTGATGTAATCTGACTGCTAATGGATTACATTTGGATTACTTTTATTACTCATTTATGGGGGCGAAATCTTACTACTTGGATTACATTTTTATTACTTTTTTACTCATTAATGGTGATGTTATAGGACTGCTTTTGTATTACATTTGGATTACTTTTATTACTTATTTATGTTGATGTGATCTGACTGCTTTTGGATTACATTTACATTACTTTTCTTACACATTCATGGTGATGTTATTGGACTGCCTTTGGATTACGTTTGGATTACTTTTATTACTCATTCATGGTTATGTAATCTGACTACTTTTGGATTACTTTTTTACACATTCGTGGATACGTAATCTGACTGCTTTTGGATTACATGTAGATTACTTTTAATACACATTTTAAACTAATCTGACTACTTTTTTATTGGATTTATATTACTTTTATCACATTTATGGTTATGTAATCTGAATATTGCTACAGATTTTTAATCTGATTGTCTAATCTAGATTACATGTAATCCCTGTACTACTTTACCCAGGCGTCCTCTGAAGTGTACTGCTCTGGGATGGGAAAGTAGTGATTGATCAGTTTGGATTTGTCTGTTTGCAGCTCGATGGCGTCCCACATCACAGTGTTCAGATCTGCGAAGTTATGATTCATATCGATGCCTTCATAACTGTATCGACCCAGAGCCCAGCCGGCCAGCTCCGAACCCTGCGGAGAAACAGAAAATAGATCCGACTGAGAGGTTTTTAGTGTGAAGTCAATAGCTGGATGATGCTAATTCAATATAAATGCTGGATTCTGATTAGCTTCAGGTGTTTGGTTATCGTCAGATAAAGGCACAGCTAAAGTAGTTCCGGCAGGTTTATAGCGTATTAAAGCTCAATATCACTCCGCTGAATCAGTTATTTCACAGCTACAACAGTTTGATTTAAAGGAGCATCACAGGAGGCTCATGCGGCGCTATATTCCTTCCTCCACCTTCTTGTATGCCATCTCGTATCCGTCTGGGTTCATGGCGGGCAGCAGGTGGATGCGCGTCTCTTTGACCAGGTGGAGGATTCTCTGGTTTCCGCGTCTGTATTCCTGACAGATGAACTGCATCAGGTTCAGCTGTAACTCTCGACCCAGCACCTCGTTCCCATGCATCCCGGCCACATAGCGGAACTCCGGCTCACCTGCAGGGGGACACACTGAGCTTCAGAACAACACCAGCTGTGTGTTTGAGTGAGTGAGTGAGTGAGTGAGTGAGTGAGTGAGTGAGTGTGAGAAAGAGTGTGTGCGTGAGTCTGTGAGTGTGTGTGACTGTGTGTGTGTGTGTGTGTGTATGTATGCTTTCATGTATCCTTGTTTGTTGTATTGTGTATCTGTTTATCTTGCCGTGTGAGTTAGTGTATGTGTGTGTGTGTGTGTGTGTGTGTAAGACTGTGTATGTGTGAGTGTATGTGTGTGTGTGAGCGTTTGTGTGTGTATGCGATTTTGTATGCTTGTGTGTGTATGTGTGTGTGCATATGTGTGTATGCTTGTGAGTGTGTGTGCATGTTTTAGTGTGCATTTGTGTGTGTCTGTGTGAGAGTGAATGTTTGTGTGTGTATGCTTGTGTGTTGCAGTGTGCATGTGTATGTTTATGTTGGCGTGTGTGTGAGTGTGTGTTTGTGTGTGTGTGTGTGTGAGAGAGAGTGACTGTGTATGAGTGAGTATACTTATATGTCCATGTGTGTGTGTATAAGAGAGAGAGAGAGAGTGCATTTGTGTGTGTTTGTGTTTGTGTGTGTGTGTGTGTGTGTGTGTGTGTGTGTGTGTGTGTGTGTGTGTGCGTGTGTGAGTGAGTGAGTGAGTGAGTTAGTGAGTGAGCGAGCCTGTGTGTGTGTGTGTGTGTGTGTGCGTGTGTGTGTGTGTGCGTGTGTGTGCGCGTGTGTGTGTGTGTGTGTGTGTGTGTGTGCAGTTATTAGCAGAGCTATGGTACGAGCGCTGAGTTTGTATAAGTCAAATTCCTCCACTATAGAGGGTCTTAAAGGGACAGTTCACCCTAAAACAAATCAAAATGTTGACCCCATAATGTCTGTAATTTGCACCCTGCCTGTACCCATTGCCTTCCATATATCTGTTTTCCCTACTATAGAAGTCAATAGTTACCGGTTTTTAGCATTCTTCTGAATATCTTCTTTTGTGTTCGACAAACTCAAACAGGTTTGACAACACTTGAGGTAAATAGTCAGTAAATTTGAGGGTGAACTGCCCCTTTAACAGTGGAGTCTGAAATGTGTCACCTCCTCTCTAGCGGGGCTCACGCAGCAACACAGGGAAAAGTGTTTGTTTGGTTTTGTTTTGGGAAAACACCTACACTTTTACATATGATTGTGTTAATTAGTGTGGGTAAAAGTGTTAAGTGAATTACTTTTTACTAAATTAATAAATTAATTTGTCTAAAAATCAATTCAATAAATGCGTATAATATAAATGTCAGTACATAGTCAGTAGAAAAAACTTTTAATTACTTTATTTTTAGTTAGTAAATATAAAACAAAATGTAATATTTATGTTAAAGATTAAACACAAAGCATTTTGAAATAACGACTTCATCTTTTATGCATATTTATTATTAAACTCAAAATACTAATATTCTGCTTCTATTCATTGACTTCCAGTGTAGTAAACTCAATAAATGACCTAAGCAATAACCCACTGTACTGTGCTTTCATCAGCAGATAAGTCATTTAATTGTGGTTAATAGAAAAGCCACTAAAATGTCTAATATGTACGGACATATTAAGTATTTAATATTTATATATTTATAATATTTAATAAGATATAAATTAATATTTATATCTAGTTATATCCATGATTTTTATCAGTTGAATGACGACATCGTCTCATTGTTATTTACAACAATTACAATAAAACACAGCTGAGTTGAACTGGATTTGATGCAGACACCAGAATGGGACGTCTCATGTTTGACGCATTAAATATTAATTTTTCATTTGTTTATCTTCTGCCATTAAAGTTGCATATTTACAATCTTAGTTCATATTTTCCCTCAGCATATTCTTTTGGGTGTAATAATTTCTGGACTGTGATTTGTGCTAGATTAGTTCATCAGTTTTGTCTTTGGCACTGATTAATGTTTATGCACATACACACTCACTGGCCACTTTATTAGGTACACCTCAATAGTACCAGGTTGGACTCCCTTTAGTCTTCAGAACTGCCTTAATCCTTGGTGTCAGAGATTCAACAAGCTACTGGAAATATTCCTCAGAGATTTTGCTCCATATTGACATGATAGCATCACACAGTTGCTGCAGATTTGTCGGCTGCACATCCATGATGCCAATCTCCCGTTCCACCACATCCCAAAGCAATGCTCAGGTAGGCTGTGGCGTTGATGCTCAATTGGTACTAATGGACCCAAAGAAAATCTCCCCCACACCATTACACCACCACCACCAGCCTGAACCGCTGATACAAGGCAGGATGATCCATGCTTTCATGTTGTTGAGGCCAAATTGTGAGCCGAGCATCCGAATGTGTCAGCAGAAATGGAGACTCATCAGAGCAGCAACGTTTCTCCAATCTTCTATTGTCCAGTTTTGGTGAGTCTGTGTGAATTGTAGCCTCAGTTTCCTGTTCTTAGCTGACAGGAGCGGCACCCGGTGTGCTCTTCTGCTGCTGTAGCCCATCCGCCTCAAGGTTGGACGTGTTGTGTGTTCAGAGATGCTCTTCTGCAGAGCTCGGTTGTAACGAGTGCTTATTTGAGTTACTGTTGCCTTTCTATCAGCTGGAACCAGTCTGGCCATTCTCCTCTGACCTCTGGCCTCATCAACAAGGCATTTACGCCCACAGAACTGCCGCTCACTGGATATTTCCTCATTCTCTGAAAATCCCAGTAGATCAGCAGTTTCTGAAATACTCAGAGCAGCCCGTCTGGCAGCAACAACCAAGCCACATTCAAAGTCTCTTAAATCCCCTTTCTTCCCCATTCTGATGCTCACTCTGAACTGCAGCAGATCCTCTTGACCATGTCTACATGCCGAAATGCAGTGAGCTGCTGCCATGTGATTGGCTGATTAGAAATGTGCGTTAACAAGCAGTTGGACAGGTGTCCCTAATAAAGTGGCCAGATAGTGTATATAATCGTGTATAGAGAGATCTGTGAGGGGTGAACACTAATGCTAAGCACTGTATTTTTAATCATGATAATTACTGTGCAAACCTCTTTACAAATAAGCTTGAATGAATCAATGAATGAATGATCTTCTTCTGACTCTAAAAAGAGCTGGTAATGTTATCATAGCATCTGCTTAATATATTTTTTTAAGCAAATAGAGGACTCATGTGCATCTGAGCTGCGTCTGTGTATATCTGACCATGCTTGGCTGAATTATTTCTCTAAATATTGATTCTGCTTGCAGATTTCTGCTTCCCCGTCAGCCGTGGAGAGCACAAGCTGCATGTGTTTAGACCCTAAAACAGCCATCATTAGGTTCAGCTCTCTCATTTAAACAACTTAAAATGAGAGAAACCTCCCTAAAAGTGAACGTAAGGCAGAATAAATCAGATTTATTAACTAATGATGATTTAAAGTGTCTTAATTAATTCAATATTTCAGTGAAATATATTAAATTAGTTAACTTAGAGCTGCACACATTCTCCCGTCGAGTTTGTTTTTTATAGGTCACTATATTTACCCCTCCTTCAATAATTATAATTAATTAAAAAATAATAATGGCTTTAATAATGTCCATAATGAAGTGAGTTTCTCCCTAAATCAAGCTGAATAATCTGCCAATGAGGGAAGAAGTATAATCCTGCTTTTGCTTTGACATAACATTACTTCACTCACCTCATTGGCTGATTATTTTGCTTGTTTTACAGAAAATCTCTCTTCATTTTGACTCATTATTTCTGAAAGCAACACAATATTTACTAGAAATGCTTCTTGATTTAAGAATGTTTCGATATTTGGACTAGAAACAAGTCAGAAAGGTGTTTTTTGTGCCGTGTGTGTCTTCCGTGTGGTTAAACTCCCCTCCTCTCAGCGCACTATTTAACTAACAGTTGACCCATTCAGTGTCAGCAGTCTGGCTTTGGTTATTTTCAGAGGAAGCATCATTCATTCATGAGGAGGGGGAATTCCTGAGGAGGAACATGAGCACATGTGCAGTCAGACGCCACTGATTTAAAGGGCCAGTTCACCACAAAATAACAATCATGTACTCATATTGATCCAAGTGTAACCCCTCCGGTCCTACATCACCCAACCCGCTCTGAGCCGGGATCGATCTGGCAACCTTCCGCATGGGAGTGGGTTGCTCTAACAAGGAGGCTAAAGACCATGGCCTCTAGCATCTGTCGCTATAGAGCACCTTTAGAGGTCAGAGGAGTGAGGTTTACCTGCACAGCACTTACTCCAGTACACTCACCCCCCTAAACCTCACTCCCATCCGGGTCACGGCACCAATGTGACGGTCTTGCCTGGGCTGTCTTTTTACTGCACACTATACAATGGAGACAGACAGCGCGTGTACATACTTGCTGGTTCATAAAGAAAATTACCATTTCTATATAAAACACAAGACAGCACACAAATTGATCACAATCAGGCCTCGTTATATAATCGCATTATAACTCAAGATTGAAGAACACACTCGACGCCAAACACAACTCAACAGTGTCCCAGCATATTCATTAAAACATTCAGTCACAATAAAGCTAATATTTATGTGCTTTAAACACTTATAAATGGCCATTTTCCACCCGGGAGAGACGTGCGACTTATGTTTGGTCCCTACTCCACACGCTTATTACACCACGCACACTGCAGAGGGCGCTGTCCCCATTTAGGCATTAATTTAACACTAGTGTGTTTCTTTCTTGTGTTGAACACAAAGAATGATTGAGAAATCAGCAGTATATTTGTTCCTACTTTTCATTTTCATGTTACGTCACAGGCAGAACAGCGGCCTCACAGCAAGAAGGTCGCTGATTTGAGTCTCAGCTAGGTCAGTTAGTGTTTCTGTGTGGAGTTTGCATGTTCTCCCCATGTTGCCGTGGGTTTCCTCCGGGTGCTCCGGTGCTTACATTCCAAACACATGCGCTATAGGGGAATTGATTAACTAAACTGGCCGTATGATTGTAAGTGTGAATGAGTGTGTATGGGTGTTTCCCAGTGCTGGGTTGCAGCTGGAAGAACATGTACCTTGATATTTGATGAGTTTAGAGATTTCTGTGGCATCAGTAGGACTCAAACACATGATGAAATCCAGATCAGTAAAGTACTGTGGGAGTAAAGATATATGAATGCAGTGACACTCACCCAGCTCATGTTTGCCGGGGTTGTCTGAGATCTCCATCACGTACAGCTTCAGGCCCATGTAGCTCTTACCAATGCTGTAAATGCGCGTGATATCAGGACACATCTCGTTCACAGACTTCATCAGCTGAAAAACAAGTATGCACTCGTCAGTTCTCATCTCATTTTTCATTCATTTTCTTGTCAGGTTAGTCCCTTTATTAATCCGGGGTCGCCACAGCGGAATGAACCGCCAACTTAACCAGCAAGTTTTTACGCAGCGGATGCCCTTCCAGCTAAAAAACATCTCTGGGAAACATCCACACACACATTCACACACACACTCATACACTACGAACAATTTAGCCTACCCAATTCACCTGTACCACATGTGTTTGGACTGTGGGGGAAACCGGAGCACCCGGAGGAAACCCACGCGAATGCAGGGAAAAGATGCAAACTCCACACAGAAATGCCAACTGAGCTGAGGCTCGAACCAGCAACCTTCTTGCTGTGAGACGACAGCACTACCTACTGCGCCACTGTGTCGCCCCAGTTCTCATCTACTACACACTAAGCTGGTGCTTATTAAAGTGATGTGTGTTGCAGTTAATGACGCTAACCCTAAAAACACACATTTCACATTAAAAAACAGGTATACACCGTTCAGTTCTCATTGCATACACACCAAATTGATCATCTGTAAAATAATAAATAAATAATTAATAAATACTTTTATTTGATATACAATAAATTAACTTTGTTCATCTGAATGCTGAAATGTTTCAGAAAAATGATAATAATAATCTTGCCCATCAGGACGCACATTTTCCAAATAACGATGTGCTCATAACTCATTAATAAATGGTTTATTGGTTATGTAACAGATATTCCAAATTATATCTCTAAACCTAACCATTTTTTTTACATGTACAGAATAAAGAAAACAACATGACAACCATTTATAGAACTGCTATGATTATTTATAAACTGCATCTTTATAAATACAACCATGACTCCCTTATTAACACGTATAAATCAATGTATAATGTGTTATGGACATGTGCATTGAAAAATGAGCTGCATTACTAGAGATTATCAACAACACTATTGCAAATGCATCTATAACTGTCACTGTAAAACAGTTTAATGTCTGTTGTGTCTTTACAAATACATTCATAAAATGATTATAAGTAATTGTAATCTGGGCAACTGGGGTGGTGGTTTCCATTTTTAAGAAGGGGGACCAGAGTGTGTGCTCACACTCCTCAGCCTCCCGGGGAAAGTCTATGCCAGGGTACTGGAGAGGAGAATCCGGCCGATAGTTGAAACTAGGATCCAGGAGGAACAATGTGGTTTTCGTCCGGGCTGTGGTACACTGGACCAGCTCTCACCAGGGTGCTCAAGGGCTCATGGGAGTATGCCCAACCAGTCCACATGTGTTTTGTGGACTTGGAGAAGGCATTCAACCAAGTCCCTCGTGACATTTTGTGGAGGGTGTTCGGGGAGTATGGGGTCAGATGCGCTCTGTTAAGGGCTGTCTCGTCCCTCTATGAACAGAGTAGGAGTCTGGATCGCATTGCCAGCAATAAGTCAGACATGTTTCCAGTGCTTGTTGGACTCTGATAAATTCTTTCATATTTTTAGGGACAGAATTTCAAGGCGCAGGCTTGGGCTGGAGGGAGTCCGGTTCGGGGACCACTGGATTTCATCTCTGTTATTCGCAGACGATGTTGTTCTCTTGGCTTCATCAAACATGGACCTTCAGCATGCACTGGGGCAGTTTGCTGCCAAGTGTCATGTAGCTGAGATGAGAGTCAGCACCTCCAAGTATGAGGCCATGGTGCTCCACCGGAAAAAGGTCGTCTGCCATCTCTGGGTTGGAGGAAAGTCCTTACTTTGGTGGAGGAGTTCAAGTATCTCGGGGTTTTGTTTATGAGTGAGGGAAGGATGGAGCGTGAGACTGACAGGCGGATCAGTGCAGTGGGAACAGTAATGTGGTCAATGTACCGGTCCACTGTGGTAAAGAAGAATCTGAGCCGAAAGGACAAGACATTCCTACTCTCACCTATGGGCATGAGCTTTGGGTCATGACTGAAAGGACAAGATCTCGGATACAAGCTTCCAAAATGAGTTTCCTTCACAGGGTGGCAGGGGGCACACTTATGGATAGGGTGAGGAGCTCAGTCACCTGGGAGGAGCTCAGAGTAGAGCCGCTGCTCCTCCACATCCAGAGAAGTCAGCTGAGGTGACTCGGGAGATGTTCCAGGCGTGTCCCACCAGGAGAAGACCTCGGAGAAGACCCAGGACACGCTGGAGGTAGAGATCTGCGCAGGACTAAATTTTGAATACCGCTCCCGCCAGGTTTTAGCCCGAATGCGACCGCTCCCACTTATATTAAGCATTTGTTGTCCCGGTGCCTGACCCGCCCCGTTTTCTACCCGCCGCGCCCGATCCCGCTAAAGAGCAGAGGGGAGAACAAAATCGAAATCCACCCAGCTATACAGAGTCCAGACAGCCTATAACAAGCTGTCTGTACAAACACACACACACATATAAGCACCAAGCACACACACACACACACACACACACACACAGACAAAGCTCACACACACACACACACACACACACACACACACACACAAAGGCCAGTTCGGTTGATCAATTCCCCTATAGCGCATGTCAATCACGCATGCACACAGCTCGCTCTCTGCAACTCTCACATGGTCTCCTACTATAGTTAAGCAGGGCTGCACGCGGTCAGTACCTGTATGGGAGACCACATGAGAAAGTTAGGTTGCTGCCAGAAGTGGTGTTAGTGAGGCCAGCAGGTGGCGCTCAACCTGCGCTCTGTGTGGGTCCTTATGCCCCAGCATAGTGATGGGGACTCTATACTGCTCATTGAGCGCCGTCTTTCAGATGAGACGTTAAACTGAGGTCTCGACTCTCTGTGGTCATTAATAATCCCAGGATGTCCTTGGAAAAAGAGTAGAGGTTTAACCCCGGCATCCTGGCCAAATCTGCCCACTGGCCTCTGTCCATCATGGCCTCCTAACCCCCCCATATCATGATTGGCATATCATCACTCTGACTCCTCTCCACCAATCAGCTGCTGTGTGGTGTGTGGTCTGGCGCAAAATGGCTGCTGTCGTGTCATCCAGGTGGATGCTTCACATTGGTGGTGGATGGGGTGATTCCCCCCCCCCCCCATTGTGTAAAGCGCTTTGAGTGCCCAGAAAAGCACTATATAACTGTAACGAACTATTATTATTATAATTAATTATATATACACACACACACACAGCAACGAACAAACAAGCTAAACACAGCATCGCACTGTTTTAGTCACACACATAACGTTACATACGCATGCTCGGGAGTCGAGAGCGATATTGCTAGATGGCCCGCTCCCATCCCAAATTAAACCTGTTACCGACCGCTCCCGCGCTTTATTTGGAAATTTAATTGCCACGCCGCAGAAATCTGGTCGGTTCCAGCAGCCCCCGCGGGAATGCAGACCTCTAGCTGGAGGGACTATGTTTCTCGGTTGGCCTGGGAACGCCTCTGGATCCCCCTGGAGGAGCTGGAGGAAGTGTCTGTGGAGAGAGAAGTCTGGGGTTCTCTCCTAAGACTGCTGCCCCCGCGACCCGGCCCCGGAAAAGCAGCAGAAGATGAATAAATAAATGAATGAATAAAGAAAGTCATAATGAGTGAGGTTTTGCATAAAACAAAAACTACAAGAAGAGCATTATTTGCAGTGTGTTTCTGTGTGTGTGTACGGTCAGTGTGGTTTTATTACCTGCCTGTAGTGTTGTGTTAATAGACACTGATGCGTAATATTGGTCAGGCTGACCACAGGTGACCCGCCGCGGAGCTCACACACCGATGTGAACGCTGGAGAAATGTGTGCTTTCTAGAAGACCTTCTTCATGTGGTCTGAGCGTCTGTGTGTGTCTGCGGTTCACTGCTTTCCTGCATAAACAAATGCTGCACTGCGACTGAGTTTGTGTCTTATTTCTAATCAAAATATCTAAACTTCTGAAATCAAGAGGCAGTTTCTAGATGAGCAAACCATGTTGTGTTGTTTTCAGAAATAAAATGCCAAAATGAAGTGAGTTTTTCCTTAAATCAGGCTAAATAATCTGCCAATAGGGTGAGCAGAATGATCTTGTTTTTCCTTTTGACATAAGATTATTTAGCTTCCCCCATTGGGAGATTATTACCCCATCTCTAGAGACTATGCAGCGCCATTGATGTGATCCAAGTCCTGTGAAGAGATGATGCCAACCATGGAGGACTTCTAGAGGTCTCCATAATCCTAGACCAGGCCGTATCCTGAGCAGATGATGTGGTGGTCATGGAGGAGTGGAGTGCATGAGCCTGAATCCTGAAAGAGCCATGGACAGACGAGTCTTCACATTGATCCTGAAGCTCCAGCCTGAACACCAGCCGTTGACCTGCTCACACCTGCAGCTTCTCCACGATGGACGTCCAGCGTTTTCCAGCCTCCGGCGCCTAGTCTGCAACTTTGCACAAGACGTTTTGGCAAAAGTAAAAATGGTCGCACCCAACTGAGCCTGGTTTCTCTCCAGGTTTCCGTCCTTCACTTTGGTCAATTGGTAAAGATTGTTCCTCCACTGGCATGCTTGGTTTGGACTTTTGGAGCTGCGCATGGATGGATTTGCTCTTTAATATTTGGACAGCAGTGAAGATTAAACCACACTGAACTGAACTGAACTGGACTTCAGCTCTGAAGACTGGACTGACACGACATCAGTTCACTAGAACTTCTGGGCTCTATATTGACGGTGCGTGTGCAAAACGCTGTCAGGGCGTGTCTGAATCCATATTTGCAAATTTAAGGATGGGAAAATCCGCTTTTCGCCGTGGCGCATGGTCTAAAAGGGTTGAGTTTATTTTCTTAATGAGTTATAGGTGTGTTTTGAGAATAAACCAATCAGAGTCTCATCTCCCATTCCCTTTAAGAGCCAGCTGCGTCACGACAAGAGCGCATTCGCTATTTGCAGGACTAAAGTAAGTTCACTTTCGCTTTTGCTCTTGTGGATAGGGAATCGTGTTGTACGCACAGACACCAATTAGTCTATAAATAATTAATTTTGTTTGTTAAGCACAAATATTTGTTTCAAAACTATTTCTAAATTCAGTTCTAATTTCCAACAAACGAATAAATGAACAATAATAATGACGTGTGCTCAAAATGCTGAGTTATATCCTAAAACACATGCTGTGCCCCATATGGTCTAAAACCTGACAGGTGGGCAAATCTAAGCTTGTTTTTAATAAAACAAATATAAATATGGATATAATAAATAATACTGCTAATAATAATAACATTATACAAAAGCAAATTGTTATGAATGAACTGAAAAAGCCTCCCGAGATGAAGAAAGTATGAAGGCAGTGGTTTTTAAATTCATGTAGGCTAGAAATTAATATGTTTTGTAATATTTTAATCATTTATATTTATATACTATATATATCCTTAATATATTATATCTTTTTCATATGTAAAGATATTTGAGTATTGCTCTACATCTTGTGTGTAGTGTGTAAGCCAGGCGCACTTTGTGCCAGACAGTAGACCGACTTTGTTCTGGTCTAAAGAACAGACTATTTACAGTTTCTCAAAATAGCAACGCGCCAAAACACGCCAGCTTTTTTAGACCAGAACGCCTGTGGGCGCATATATGATCGCAAATGCATTTGCTATTTAAACAGTGTAGCGCAATGCCTCAAAATGACCCTTGCACCGAGGTGAAAGTAGCAAATAGCAATTGCGTTGCGTCTTGCGCCACATTGCGCCGGGTGTATGATATGGCCTTCTGTGTTCAGCTGCTGACACACAATCTACAGTGGAGAAGAGCTTGAGGAATACAGATACACTGAATTATTCTGTTGTTGTTTTAGGGAGAAACTCTCTTCATTTGGACTCATTACTTCTGTAAACAGCACATGTTTTGCTTGTCTAGAAAATGCTTTGATTTTAGAATGTCTTGATATTTGGACTAGAAACAAGACAGAAAGTTTTTTGCAGTGTATACTTTATTTTAGATTGTATCGAGCCTAATATATGACCCTGGAGCATAAAAAGTTTTAGCTTTCGTAGGAATTTTAATTACAGATTTTTCTTTTATGCGAAAAATCATTTGAATATCAAATAAAGCGGTAATAAAACTCTGCACATGGCTACGCGGGGTGCAAAACACCTCACAGTTTTCCTTCAGTCTGCAACATCAGAGGCCACAAAAAGTGCAACGTGCAAAACTGCAGAAATCTCTTCCTCAGTAATGCTAAATGAAGACCATGTTCACATCAAAACACATCACAAAACCTTTTGATTAGTAATATGCATTGCTGAGAACTTTGCACCCTGAGAAATATTATCATCTTCTTACTAACCGTTCGTCAGTAGAAAGCTCGTTTATTTTGCATTCAGATGATGCATTTCCAGAAGTAGACTGTTATTACACATATTTCCCTTTAATGGCCAACCTGTCAGTGGTTTGCACAATTTCAGGATGACTACACTGTAAAAGCATTCAATAAAACACAGATTATTGTAGTATTTTTATTATATTTTTGGCTGTTTGTTCAGTTTAATCTGTTACTTGGAATTGTTTGTGTTTTTGGTGAATTCTGCAAGCAGTTCTTAAATGAAAGCTAGACAATTTAAGAAAGCAATGCCAGCAGAGTCGTCCTCACCTTCCTCATCTCTTTGTAGTTGTGATGTCTGAAGTCCAGCTTGTCTTGGCTGCCGTCCTCTGATTGCCATGGGTAGATATTGTTGGGATCTGAAATAAAACAAGACAATGGACATTTCATGAATATTTCTGTGGCCAGATTTTATTTACACTAATATATTGTTATTGTTTACTTTTAAAATAATCATTTTAATTTGAATAATCTGAATACAGCTATATTTTTCTTGATTGTCTGCGATTATCAGAACATTTCATTTGTGAGATTAATAGTTGCATATTTGGTGTAGTGCATATAAAATAATGGATGATAGGGTGTGCTTATATTATCATGTGTTTTATAAATGGTTGCAATTAGTTGAGGCAAAATAAATGTATTCAGTGTATTCCTTAAAACACAACACAAAGTCATGTGACCATACAGACGTGATTGGATAATTAAACAAAACAGCAGATCAACCGATAATGTGATTGGTTAACTGAGCTAACCAGCAGATGAGCAGATAATGTGATTGGTTAACTGAACTAACCAGTGGATCATTGGATGATGTTATTAGCTAATCAAACCAACCAGTGGTTAAACAGGTTTACCTGCTGCTTGTCGAACTTCAATTTAATTATTGACAATCTGCATAACAGGGGCAGCACAGTAGCGCAGTTGGTAGCACAATCGCCTCACAGCAAGAAGGTTGCTGGTTCAAGCAATGGCTGGGTCAGTTGGTGCTTCTGTGTGGAGTTTGCATGTTCTCGCCATGTTGGCGTGGGTTTCCTCCGTGGGTTCTGTCCAAACACATGTATCAGTGTGTGAATGAGTGTGTATGGGTGTTTGTCAGTGATGGGTTGCAGCTGGAAGGGCATCCTCTGTGTAAAACATATGCTGGATAAGTTGGCGGTTCATTCCGCTGTGGTGACCCCAGATTAATAAAAGGACTAAGCTGAAAAGAAAATTAATAAATGAATGAATTTGCATAACATTTACAGGATGGTTTTGTTCCTTTGAGCACACACACTGTAAAACAGTGCGGGGTTAAGTTAGTAATTAAGTTAATTGTTTGTACAAATTTGAGTGGATTGAACATAAAACAACCCAAAAACGACCCAACAATTGTGATGATTCAGCTCGTTTTAAATAAGAAATTAGAACAAATAGCAAAAGTCATTTTGTGAGTGCATGTGATGGAGACGCTGATTGATTTGCACTGTTTTTCACATAATTTAAAGTCCCACTGTTTAAATAGAGCCGTCACACTGTGTGTGTGTGTGTGTGTGTGTGTGTGTGTGTGTGTGTGTGTGTGTTTGTGTGTGTGTGTGTGTGTGTGTGTGTGTGGTACCTGGCAGCTCGCATCCCATAATTTCAGCTCTCAGGCAGATGGTGCCATTCTTGAACCAGCTCTGTGGGTTAATGCGGATGTATTGTGCCACCGCCGGCTCAGGCAGAAGCGCTAGCACTGGCGTTTCACTGTCTGTGTTTCCCTCAAACACCTGTTAGCATACAACAGTGCTTCAGCATACAGAGCCTACAGAGCAGGGATGCCAAACTTAATTCCTGGAGGGCCGCAGCTCTGCACAGTTTAGTTCCAACCCTAATTAAACACCTGATCAAAGTAATTGAGTCCTTCAGGCTTGTGGGAAACCTACAGGTAAGTGTGTTGGAGCAGGGTTGGAACTAAACTGTGCAGAGCAGCGGCCCTCCAGGAATTGAGTTTGACTTCCCTGCTATAGAGGATGTGCACAGCTAGTGTGTTTCAGCCACTGATAAACATCCAGTAACAGGTTAATGTTAGGGCTGCTGCATTATGGGAGAAAGCGCAATCATGATTACACAAAATGATATATTTATACAGTTGAAGTCAGAATTATTCGGCTTCCGGTGAATTTTCCTTTTCCAAATATTCCACAGATGATGTTGAACAGATTCAGGAATTGTTCACAGTGTTTCCTCTAATATTTGTTTATCTGGAGCTACTAAGGTCTGTCTTCAGAAATATAAGCCTGACATTGATTAAACTGCTCATTCTGACACTCTTCGGAGGAAGACTATTCATTTGTTCTGGCAGTGCTCCTTCACAGAGAGATTCTGGTCAGATTTGTTGATCTTTATTCAATCTTATATTATGGGTGACTTTTCCTTTTCTTTTAAAGTTATATTGTTTGGATTGTTTGATGATTCTAAAGAAAACATGGAAAAAGTATATATAATTAATTTGTGTATTCTATTAGCCAAGTTTCATATTCACAAACAGAAGTTTAGTGGCTCTAAACCTTTTTTTGATCTGTTCAAAATCGACCTAGACCAATATTTGGAAACTATCCAGCATTCTCTTCATCCAAAAGCAACAAAAACGGTATCCTTATATTCTTCCTTTGTGTCTCTTTAAGGTGTAACTTTATTTTATCAGTTTTATTTTTGTTACCCTGGTGTTTATTTGTCTTTGTGTGTATTTCTGTGTATTTGTTTATTTATTTGTATTATTTGTCTCTATGTATGTAATTGTATTTGATCGACCTCTTTAATAAAAAAAAAAAAAAAAGAAATTTGTTTATCTGGAGAAAGTCTTATTTGTTTATTTCGGCTTGAACAAAAGCAGCTTTTAATAGTTTTAAAGTCATGTTAAGCTCAATATTATTGGCCCCTTCAGCAATATTAGTGTTGGATTGTCTCCAGAACAAACCACTGTTATACAATAACTTGCCTAATTACCCTAACTTTACCCTAATTACCCTAGTGAAGCCTTTACATGTCACTGTAAGCTGAACACTAGTGTCTTGAAGAATATCTAGACTAATATTATGTGCTGTCATCATGGAGAAGAGAAATTAATCAATTATTTGTATTAAGTTATTAAAACTAAGAAAAAATATAAAGTAGGGCGAATAATTCAGGAGGGCTAATAATTCTGACTTAAATATATATGCACATAAATATATATATATAGTTTCTGACAGTTAATGAAGGTAATAAAGTGTCAACATACCGCCTCTTGTGTCCCGTTCATGCACGGCTTCCATTTGATGGTGTCATTGCTGACCTGAACCTTGAAGCTTTCCACATAGTCCAAGCTACAGAATATAAGTCACACACTGTAAATGCTGAAATGCACTATTTTTATTGATTACGTCTTTATTAGATTTCAAATACACTGAAAACAAATATATTCTGCTCACCATTTCATACATAAATAAAATTTCATAAAACACCAAACCATTCAAAACACACTTTTATACACTAAATTAACAACTTACTTTACATGCTAATTTGCACATAACAGCTGCACATATACCGGTGTATACTGTAATATAGCTGTACATACACTTGTCTATTTGTATATTTGCATTCAGCACTTACTTCTATTTTTTAAATATATTTATTATCTGTTTATTGTCCTGTCTCTGTAATTCTGTTGCACTGTAGAAGCTCTGTCACCAAAACTCCTCGTACATACCTGGCAATAAAGCTCTTTCTGATTCTGATTCAAAGGCTTGTTGTTTAAAAAATGGTCAAGAAATTCTAGAAACGAATACTTTTACTTAGTAAAGACACTTTAAACTGTTTAATAGTGACGATAAAGACATTTATAATGTCACTAAAGACTTCTATTTCAGATAAATGCTATTCTACAGAATCTTTTATTCATCAAAGAAAGCTGCTTGCTGCACAATAATAATACTATTAATGCTAATACCAATAATAAAATGATATTCGAGCTGCAAAGCTGAATATTAGAATGAAGATCATGTGACTGGAGTAATAATGCAAAAATAATTCAGCTTTGAAATCAAAGGATTACATTACATTTTAAATATATATTCAAATTGGGTGGCGCAGTGGGTAGCACTCCAGTTGCTGGTTCGAGTCCCGGCTGGGTCAGTTGGTGTTTCTGTGTGGAGTTTGCATGTTCTCCCCGTGTTGGTGTGGGTTTCCTCCGGGCGCTCCGGTTTCCCCCACAGTCCAAACACATGCGCTATAGGGGAACTGATCAACTACACTGGCCTTTGTGTGTGTGTGTGTGTGTGTGTGTGTGTGTGTGTGTGTGTGTGTGTGTGTGTGTGTGTGTGTGTGTGTGTGTGTGTGTGTATATGTATGGGTGTTTTTCAGTACTGAGTTTCAGCTGGAAGTGCATCTGCTGTGTAAAACATACAGTATGCTGGAATAGTTGGTGGTTCATTCCGCTGTGGTAACCCCTGATTGATAAAGGGAATAAGTTGATTGAAAGGGAATGAATGAATATATATTCAAATATTAATTTTAAATAGTAAAAATATTTTAAATTCTGCTGCATGTTTTTTAAACATTCTTAAAAACATTATAGAGTATTATACTGATTTCTGAAGGATCATGAAATCTAAAGACTGAATTAATGATGCAGAAAATTAATAATAATAATATTAATAATAATAAAAATTAAACAATCAAGATTTGTTGAGACTTTAAAAATGCTCTTTACAAAACATTAAAATTTTGACTGCTCTAAAATGTATGTGTGATTGCAGTATATTCATATATGTAATGTAATGTAATGTGTATTTATATAGCGCATTTATTGTGTATGGCCATACACCCAAAGCGCTTCACAATCATGAGGGGGGGTCTCTCCACACCACCACCAGTGTGCAGCATCCACTTGGATGATGCGACGGCTGCCACAGGACAACGGCGCCAGTGCGCTCACCACACACCAGCTATTGGTGGAGTGGAGAGACAGTGATAGAGCCAATTCAGTGGATGGGGATGATTGGGAGGCCATGATCGTATGGGCCGATAGAGGGACTTTGGCCAGGACACCGGGGTTACACCCCTGCTCTTTCACGAGAAGTGCCATGGGATTATTAATGACCACAGAGAGTCAGGACCTCGGTTTAACGTCTCATCCGAAAGACGGCGCCCACTGACAGTGTAGTGTCCCCTTCACTTTTACTGGGGCATTAGGACTCACTTAGACCTCAGGTTGAGCGCCCCCTGCTGGCCTCACTAACACCACTTCCAACAGCAACCTAGTGTTCCCTAGTGTTCTCCCATCCAGGTACTGACCAGGCTCAGCCCTGCTTAGCTTTAGTGAGTAACCGGTCTTGGGCTGCAGGGTGATAAGGCTGTGGCTTATATCACATGTGGGAATATATCACATTTTAATATCTTCAAATAGTAAACAATTATTATTTTATATAGTAAAAGTTCAGATTTTGCTGTACTTTAAGTCATTAAATAAATACAGAAAATGCAATAAATACAGACTTGGTGAGAATTATATATATATATATATATATATATATATATATATATATATATATATATATATATATATATATATAAAAATATATAATTGGCTTTTTAGAAAACATGTAATGCACAATTGTTCTAAAGCGTCTGAATGTCATGATCACCAGCGATACAGCCTGTGCAAATTGCAGGTAAACACACATTACAGACTACAGATCCCAGTCATGCAACACACAAACTCACCTGCTCCAAGTCACCATTGATTAGACACTCACAGCTGAAGCTGCTTTTGGACTGATTACACAGACTATATACACACCTCTCAAACACACACATGTGCTGAGTCTTGTTTTCTGTTATCGTGACATTACAACGTGTTTCCTTTGTCTTGCTTTGCCGTATTTTGATCCCCCCTTGTGAATCTGTTTAGCCCTGTCTGCTGCTGCCCTCGCCTGTTCCTGTGACTACATTTCTTATCTGCCTTATACATCTGTTTGGTCCTGTGTTGATCATTGCTTGCCTGACCATTCTTGTAAACCTGCATTTGGATCCTCACCCACGTTGTCAGCGTCACATCCTCGGTTACACTGAGTGTTAGTGTATAGTGAACGGTAGTACCTCCATATAGAGCTGCGTCCCTGCAGAATGACAGCTGTGAACCGAGTCAGTTTCTGGGCATGGATCTGCAGCCACTGTTGCTGGTCTTCATACTGCGCACACCAGCCTCCGTCATAGATATCTCCATCCTCCACACCAGACTGCAGAAACAAACACGGTCATGATCATATGACAACTAATATAACCATGATTATGATACTATATTGCTGATATTGATTAATGAGATTTTTTAAAGCTGCATTTAGTTGATCAGTCAAATTGTGTGTTTTCCAGTACTGGGTTGCAGCTGGAAAAGCATCCGCTGTTTAAAACATATGCTAGAATAGTTGGTGGTTCATTCCACGGTGGAGACCCCTGATGAATAAAGGCTTTATAAGCTGTGTGCATCACCTGTATGTTGAGTCGGCCCCTGTGCGGCCCCAGGCCCCGGCGCAGGTATGAAGACGCCTGAATCTGCGAGTCTTTGACTTTCAGAGACTCCAAACCCAAAGGAGGACACTCTGAGGAGCAGAGAGAAGACTGTAAAGGGGTGCTCCAATGCTATTTCATGCATACAGGGTTATTTACCTGATTAAAGGTCTCGTGAAATGCTTTAAACTGTGCATTTTTATTGGATGTTTGATGTAATCTCAACTGAAACATGAAGAGAGGGCGGGGCATAGTGTAGCTCCTCCCCTTTTACATTCATTCATTCATTTTTGGCTTAGTCCATTTATTATTCTGGGGTTGCCACAGCGGATTGAACCACCAACTTATCAAGCATATGTTTTACGCAGCAGATGCCTATCCAGCTGCAACCCATCACTGGGAAACACCCATACACACTCATTCACACACTCACTCATACACTATGGCCAGTTTAGTTGATCAGTTCCCCTATAGCGCATGTGTTTGGACTGTGGGGGAAACCGGCGCACCCTGAGGAAACCCACGCCAACACGGGGAGAACATGCAAACTCCACACAGAAATGTCAACTGACCCAGCCAATTCTCGAACCAGCGACCTTCTTGCCCACTGCACCACCACGTCGCCCCTCCCCTTTTACAAAAACAGCCAATAGTATTATTTTTTCACAGCTCTGCCAGTGATCATGTGCATCCAATGAGGAGGAGGAGGAGGCGGGGCATATCAGATACTAGAGAGCATTTGATTGGTCAGAAGATTTAATGTGAAGCTCAAATATTAGGTGGTGTGAAAAAAACTGATCCATTAAGGTGGAAGTGACAAACTACACATTACAAATGCAAATTTTGTCACTGTTTCGGAGCACACTGGCTTATAGATATCCTAAAAACTGACAGACTGATACTAACATCTAAAGCAACTCTATTTTAATTTGATGGGACCTTTAAAGAGTTCAAATCTCATGTTTAAACACTGATCAATTTAAAAATATACATATATTTGGGCAAAACACAGTGGCTGTTTCTCAGTGTGTTCTCATGCGATCTTCTGTTCTCGTGTAACATTATCGTTATCATAATCAGCAACCAAAATCAGTTCCAATGAATAAAACCACAAGAACAGAGGGCTCATGACAGAACCCGGATGCATTCCTGATATTAAGGATGCATCGAATACAGATTGTGTCACAAAAAGACTTCAACTCTTGTGTGCTGTTGGGTTGTTTTCATGCACTCCGGGCTGATTTTGAGACCTCATCTTTCTCTGTTATCAGTAAGTTTTTCTGACAAATCTTATTTTGACACATATTTTCAGAAAATACTTTGGAAATGTTCATAAACTCATCAACACACTCTCCCCTTTGGTGATGTTGGTGCTGTTTTTGCTCCATTGACTTCCATTGTAATCACATTTATTGGATGTAAAGCCATTACAGCAGATAATCATGCAGTACTGACTGCTGCTGGTTTAATTAGGTACAATTAATAATGGTTTTAAAAACTTCTAATAAAACTGTGATTATGATGGAAATCAATGGGGCAAAAACAGCACCAGCATAACCAAAGGGGAGTCAGTCTGACACGAGGGTTAAATCTTCCTCTCCTGAAGTCCTGTGGAAGTGCTCAGGCTCTGGTTGATCTGACTCAGGCTGATGCTCTGCTCTGTCAGCATTTCCCAGTTATTCATCTGAGCGAGGCCTGATTTTCCAGTTCATGTTCAGACATCTGGATTAACTCCTGCCGCTGGGCTCGTCTTTATGAGGTGTGCCATGAGGTTGTGATTGTGTTTGTTGCACAACCCCTGAGAAAATCACATGGCAATCCTGCTGTGTTGCACACCGAACATCAGTTCTCTCGTTTGTGGAGTTTCATTGATTGATTCATTCATTCTCCGTCAGCTTAGTCCCTTTATTAATCAGGGGTCTCCACAGTGGAATGAACCACCAACTATTCTAGCATATGTTTTACACAGTGGATGCCAATCTAACTGCAACCCAATACTGGGAAACACCCATGCACACTCATTCACACACACACTCTTACGCTACGGCCAGTTTAGTTGATCAATTCCCCTATAGCGCATGTGTTTGGACTGTGGGGGAAACCCACGCCAACACGGGGAGAACATGCAAACTTCACATAGAAACACCAACTGTCCCAGTCTGGACTTAAACCAGAGACCTTCTTGCCGCCTGATTATAAGTGTTTTTGTTCTTCAGCTGCAGCTTGATCAGTTCTGCAGATGTCTTTATTTCCGTCAGCTTGATATAAGATGTGAGAGTGGCCCGTTACTCTGACCACAGCATTCCTGCAGTATTTAATCAATGGAAAATCCAGCTTCAGCTTCTGTGGTTTGTGTGTTTAGTGGAGAAACTCTTCCCCGATGACCCAGTTGGCTTTTAGATCAGGAAGAGGAATCTGAATTACGTAACATGCATGTTCATGAGCTGAGTTATTGTAAAGAGATCATAAATAACTGCGTGCATGTTTTCATTTATATTAAAGGGATAGTTCACCCAGTTTATTCAGCAATTACTTTTAAACATGTGTGACTTGCTTTTATTCTGTCGAACAGAAAGGAAGATATTTTGAAGAATGCTGGATATGATATATGTGTATGTGATTGTTCATGTTAGTAAATAGATTAGCGGATGCAGCGCTACTTTAAAGAGATTTCTCCTCACCAAACACCGGTGGTTCTGTGCTCTCTCTGCTGCTCCAGACTCTCTTCTCCACTGTTTTGTCGATGCTTTCACTCAGGTCCTCTGTGCTGAAGCTCACTGTGGATGTTCTGGGGGGTTTGGATGAAGGGGAGACTGTGGATCTGCTAGTTTCAGAGGGTTTGGAAGTTTTTCCGCTGGTTTCAGTCGGTTTAAGGGGTTTTATACTGGCTTCAGTGGGTTTGAAAGGGTTTCCTGTGGGTTTCAGAGCTCTGGAGAAGGTTTCAGTGGGTTTGGGGGTTTTTCTTCTGGTTTCAGTGGGTATGGGAGGGTTCCCTGTGGGTTTTAGAGCTCTGGAGGAGGCTTTAGATTTAGGGGTTTTTCTGCTGGCTTCAGTTGGTTTCAGAGTATTTCTGCTGGTTTCAGTCAGTTTGGGGGGTTTTCCTGCGGGTTTTAGAGCTCTGGTTGAGGTTTCAGTGGGTTTGGGGGGTTTTCCGCTGGTTTTAGTGGGTTTGGGAGTTTTTCTGCTGGTTTTAGTGGGTTTGGGAGGTTTTCTGCTGGTTTTAGTGGGTTTGGGAGGTTTTCTGCTGGTTTCAGTAGGTTGAGGAGTATTTCTGCTGGTTTCGGTGGGTTTGGGGGTTTTTCCTGTGGGTTTCAGAGCTCTGGATGACGTTTCAGTGGGTTTGATGGTCAGCGTTTTTACACCTTGAATAAAGTAAAATTAAGCACTTTTAGAGCACTTTCCAGGTTCATTATCATATCATTGTACATTACAGTGCATTACAGTATAGCATAGCGTATTATTGTATAGTATAACATTTTAAAGTATAGCACAGTATAGCATTTTATAGTATATTATAGTATAGTACAGTATAGGATAGCATTTTTTAGTGTAGTGTAGTATAGGATAGCATTTAATAGTATAGTATAGTATAGTATCGTATCGTTTAGCATTGTCTAGTATAGTATGGTATAGTACAGTATAGTATAGTATTGTATAGTACAGTATAGTATAGTATAGCTTTTTCTAGTATATTATAGTATAGTACAGTATAGGATAGCATTTAATAGTATAATGTAGTACAGTATAGTATAGTACAGTACAGTATAGTATAGTTTAGCATTTTCTAGTATAGTTTGGTACAGTATAGTATAGTATGGTACAGTACAGTATAGTATAGTGTGGCATAGCATATTACAGTATAGGATAGCATTTTATAGTATAGTACAGTATAGTATTGTGTAGCATAACATAGTATAATATAGTATAGTACAAAATAGCATATTACAGTATAGCATTTTATAGTTTACCATTTTATAGTATAGTATATAGCATAGCATATTATTGTATAGTATAGCATTTAATAGTATAGTATAGTACAGTATAGTATAGTAGCATAACATACAGTATAGAATAGTATAGTATAGTGCAGTTTAACATATTATACTATAACAATTTACAGTACAACATTGTATAGTATAGTACAGTAGAGTACTGTGTAGCATAAAATTATAGTATAGTACAGTTTAGCAAATTACAGTATAGTATTTTATAGTATAGAATATAGCAAAGCATATTATAGTATAGTAAAGCATTTTATAGTGTAGTATAGTACAGTATAGTATTGTGCAGCATAACATAGTATAATATACTACAGTATAGCATATTATAGTATAGCATTTTATAGTATAGTATAGTGTAGTATAGTATATCATGTTATAGTATAGAATGTTATTGTATAGCATTTTATAGTAGTGGATTTTAGTATAGAATACTGAAGTTTAGCATAGTATAGTATAGTTTAGTATAGTATAGTGTGTTTTAAAATAATATAGTGTAGTGCAGTATAGTTGAGTGTATTGTAGTATAGCATATTTTAGTATAGTATAGTATAGAATAGAATGGTATAGTTTTCAAAGAAAAAAACTTTTGATGGTATATTTACCTCAAGTCTAACATTGAAATACTGTCATATACTCTCTAAAACATTGCCTCGTTTCATCTTAAATGTTCGTGTATTTACATTTCTAAGCGTGTACATTAATAAAAAGCTTTGTCAAGTATTCCAGCAGCAGCTGTGTACAGACCGTGTGTGCTGTTGTGTAGTCTGCTGTGTTCCTGAGCTCTTCTTCTGCTGGTGGTGTAGTCTGCAGTAGCTGTGCTGGATTCTCCAGGGTGTCTAATGCTGGTTCTGCTGGGAGAAAGAGCTCCACCAGTATACCTCACACCTCTGCTTCTGCTGGTGTTAGACAGTCTGTCTGCAGTTTCTCCATCACTGATGAGCTCTCCAGAGTTAGTTCTGCATGACCCTCCAGATAAAACTACAGTAAGAGTGAGCAGAGACAGAAGAGAAGCCGCCGCTGCCATCGTGTCGAGGCTCTTCTGTGAAGCAGATTCTGAAGCCCGTAATGATGCAAAACACCGCGACACGACATTACAGCAGATTAACACAGCAGAACACACGCTCACTTCTCAACATAATGTGTATTAATGTAAGAATATAAACTATATCTGTTAAAAATGTAGAACATTGTGCATTATTACCGCTGTTACTTATGGTATTTTGTACTTTATAAATGTTGTATTCTTGTACCGCTATTACTGAGTGCGGAGCGCCACCTAGCGGAAATTGCCCTACATCACTGTACGAGCAGATTAATACAGCAGAACGACTTTACTTTTCTTTTAAATGTGTATTAATACAATATATACATTATATACTTTTAAAATAGAAGATTTTATATGATCACCTTTGTTACTTGTGGTATTTTGTACTTTATACATGTTGTGTTCTTGTACCGCTATTACTGAGTGCGGAGCGCCACCTAGCGGAAATGGCCCTACATCACTGTACGAGCAGATTAATACAGCAGAACGACTTTAGTTTTCTTTTAAATGTGTATAAATACAATATATACATTATTTACTTTTAAAATAGAAGATTTTATATGATCACCTTTGTTACTTGTGGTATTTTGTACTTTATACATGTTGTGTTCTTGTACCGCTGTTATTAACTGCAGAGCGCCATCTAGCGGCTATCAGTGATACAACATGGATTCAAGTCAATTGAGGAAATTATATTGAAGGCTTTCATATTATTACTCATAAAGCACATATTCTGCCTGATCTTATTCCACATCACTAATCATGCCTAATACCTTAATAACTAGCCTATTTAATAACCAATAAGCATCAAATTGTGTTTACTGAGACTAAACTCAAAAGTTGTTTATTAATAGCTTGAATTGTACATTAAAATATAAGAAATTACACTCACTTGTCATTTTGAATGTTTGCTTGTACCGCTAATAATGAGTGCAGAGCGGAGATCAGTGATGCAACACGTTTCAGACCTGTTGAATATGTTTGATCAACTAGGTTATGACTGATAATGCACATATTCGGCAGAAGTTATTGAACTAGTGCTTTAATAGCTATTAATAAGCAGCAAATTAGGAGTTTATTAAGGCAAAAATCAAAGTTATTAGTTAATTAATAGGGAGAATTGTGCCTAAAATATAAAGTGTGACTGAACAATAATCATTCAATGATTTTCCTTTGACTAAGTCCCTTTATTAATCAGGGGGTCACCACAGTGGAATGAACCACCAACTATTCCAGCACATGCTATACACAGAGGATTTCCTTTCAGCTGAAACCCATCACTGAAAAACACCCATACACACTCATTCATTCACACACACACACACATTCATAATAGGGCCAGTGTAGTTGATCAGTTCCCCTATAGCGCATGTGTTTGGACTGTGGGGGAAACCGGAGCACCCGGAGGAAACCCACACCAACACGGGAAGAACATGCAAACTCCACACAGAAATGCCAACTGACCCAGCTGGGACTCGAACCAGCGACTTACTTGCTGTGAGGCGATCGTGCTACCCACTGTGCCACCATGACGCCCCATAATAATATATTTTTAGTATTAATAAAATATTAGTTACACAATAATAATAACAACTAAATTAGATTAGAATTAGTTAAAACCGGTTTAAAAGATGTTAAAAACACAAAGAAACACAAATAGTAGCATATATAATGAATATATAAAGATAAACACTTTTTGTTTTGCACCTAATATTTTTGTTTAAGGACCTAATGGTTTATTATCGGCCTATTATTAAGATATTATCTGTTTATTAATAAATATAAAGCACATATTCTGCATCATGTAAGATCTTAATATTCAACATCAATCCAAACACACACACTACAATGATGAGTAATGAGCTCGAGCGTCCGCTAGATGGAGGCAGAGCACCGCGAATGATTTGACATCTGAAACAGACTCGAATGTGCTGAAGTATGCGGGATTATTCTTCATGCCTGTAGGAAATGCTCAGTCCTGATCAGCTATGATGAGATGTGTGCTGTAGTGGAGCTGTAGCTGATCTCTCTGCTTGCTGTTCAGTTCATTATTAATGCTGCAGCGCTTCAGTAAACCTCAGACAACAACAGCAGAACATCTGAAACAGGCCAACACCACTGCAGCTGATCAGCACCGCCTGTCTATTATTGAAGAGTGTGTGTGTGTGTGTGTGTGTGTGTGTGTGTGTGTGTGTGTGTGCGTGTGTGCGTGTGTGTCTTCTTTATGAAATGTTCCTCATATTAATATTTCAGGATGTCTTTAGATGTTGTTGTAGATGAATTGAGTGTCATTCTGAGCTGAACCATATAGTGTGTGTGTGTGTGTGTGTGTGTGTGTGTGTGTGTGTGTGTGTGTGTGTGTGGTTGTGGGCCTCGCAAGCGCTCAGGGCCCCTGCGGGAGCGTTTTGGCTCCGGCGTCACACACTTCATCAGATCGAGCTCGTCCGCAGAGTAAATGAAGTTTGGTGATGGCTCGAACACACACATTTGGCAAAAACACACACTTTTGTATCTTTGTCTTGTTTCCCAGTCAAAAACTCTGCTGCCAAATCAAACAAACTAGTGCAAAACAAGCCCGATATCAGCAGTGTGATATTAATAATCACTAATGTCATTATGCACAATAATCAGTTATGTATTATCAATAATTATACATGCTGCATCAAAAAAATACCCAGTTTGAGTGACAAGAACAGAAAAACTCAACATTTATAAACAAATACCTCACATGTACACTCACTGGCCACTTTAATAGGTACACCTGTCCAACTGTTTATTAACGCAAATTTCTAATCTGCCAATCACATGGCAGCAGCTCACTGCATTTCGGCATGTAGACATAGTCAAGAGGATCTGCTGCAGTTTAAAACGAGCATCAGAATGGGGAAGAAAGGGGATTTAAGAGACTTTGAACGTGACTTGTTGCTGCCAGGCTGGAGTATTTCAGAAACTGCTGATCTACTGGGATTTTCACGCACAACCATCTCTAGGGTTTACAGAGAATCTGTATAAAAGAAAATATCCAGTGAGCGGCAGTTCTGTGGGCACAAATGCCTTGTTGATGCCAGAGGTCAGAGGAGAATGGCCAGACTGGTTCCAGCTGATAGAAAGGCAACAGTAACTCAAATAAGCACTCGTTACAACCGAGCTCTGCAGAAGAGCATCTCTGAACACACAACACGTCCAACCTTGAGGCGGATGGGCTACAGCAGCAGAAGAGCACACCGGGTGCCGCTCCTGTCAGCTAAGAACAGGAAACTGAGGCTACAATTCACACAGACTCACCAAAACTGGACAATAGAAGATTGGAGAAACGTTGCTGCTCTGATGAGTCTCCATTTCTGCTGACACATTCGGATGCTCGGCTCACAATTTGGCCTCAACAACATGAAAGCATGGATCATCCTGCCTTGTATCAGCGGTTCAGGCTGGTGGTGGTGGTGTAATGGTGTGGGGGAGATTTTCTTTGGGTCCATTAGTACCAATTGAGCATCAACGCCACAGCCTACCTGAGTATTGCTGCTGACCATGTCCATCCCTTTATGAGCACAGTGTCTCCATCTTCTGATGGCTACTTCCAGCAGGATAACGCAGCATGTCATAAAGCTCAATCATCTCAGACTGCTTTCTTGAACATGACGATGAGTTCACTGTACTCAAATGGCCTCCACAGTCACCAGAGCTCAATCCAATAGAGCAGCTTTGGGATGTGGTGGAACGGGAGATTGGCATCATGGATGTGCAGCCGACAAATCTGCAGCAACTGTGTGATGCTATCATGACAATATGGAGCAAAATCTCTGAGGAATATTTCCAGTAGCTTGTTGAATCTCTGACACCAAGGATTAAGGCAGATCTGAAGACTAAAGGGAGTCTAACCTGGTACTAGTGAGGTGTACCTAATAAAGTGGCCGGTGAGTGTATATATATACTGTTAGAACTTGATGTTTATTTCAGTTACAACCTTTAAAGAGTAATGCGTCAGGGGTCACCACAGTGGAATAAAACACTAACTATTCCATCATGTGTTTTTGTCCTTCCAGCTGCAACCCAGTACTGGGAAACACCCATACACACTCATTCACAGTCATTCATACACACACACACACACACACTCATACACTACAGCCAATTTAGTTGATCAGTTCCCCTATAGCGCATGTGTTTGGACTGTGGAGGAAACCGGAGCACCCAGAGGAAACCCACGCCAACACGGGGAGAACATGCAAACTCCACACAGACACACCAACTGACCCAGCCGGAACTTGAACTCGCGACCTTCATACTTTGAGATGACCAATGAGCAAATATGCCACCTCGTTTATATGAATATCCAGTATATATATATATATATATATATATATATATATATATATATATATATATATATATATATATGAGTGTGTGTGTGTGTGTGTGTGTGTGTGTGTGTGTGTGTGTGTGTGTAAAAGTGTGGCTTGTTCATTTGTCTCTCTCTCTCTCTCTCTCTCTTTATTTCCCTTTGGCTTCTGCTGCGGCTCCTTTACAAAGCCCGGGAGCATTATCAGAGCATTACGCGGCGCAGCATGTGTTTGATTAAAAAAGTGTAAAGTTACAAATGAGTTAATAAAATCATTTAGGCCGATCGCTGCAAATGGTGATGAATGTGTTCCATATGCTCCCAATAAAACAAGAGGAAGCCGAGAGAGAGAGAGAGAGAGAGAGAGAGAGTGAGTGCCATGTGCCCGTCCCCCTCTGTCTCCGCCATACACAAATAAATTAAAACAATTACTGCGGCCTGGCTGTCTTTAATGAGAGCGCGCCGTATAAAGCATGTGACAGCTCGCAGATCCTCTGTGTGTGTGTGTGTGTGTGTGTGTGTGTGTGTGTGTGGAGAGTCCAGATGTTGTGCTTCTGTCTTCTTCTTCTTCTTCTTCTTCTGTGTTCTTCATTAACCTCTCAGTCTTCTGTCCATCTGTAATGCTGTGTGTTGATAATATAAACTCTACACACACGCACACGCACACATCACATGACGTTTCCTCTTGAAGT